TCAAGGAATGGTGAAATGATCCAAGGTGAGATACTCTAATCTCTATCTTCAAGCAACTATGGAAAGTCTAAAATGCTCTCTCCTTAATATCATCCATTCTGTGTGCATAAAACATAGTACCTTTTTCATATCTTACTCAATAAAGTATATCATTACATTTGTATGAATGAATTTACCTAAAGACCGAAATATGATTAAAGAGGAAATTCTTAAAAATGTAAACTAAAAATCATCTTATAAATTTATGCACCCATATGCACTGAATGCGGATGATGATTCAAGTGGAGCAAAACCTGATGACATAGGTTTGGCAAAGATAAATATGCAAAAGCCTTAAGAAAAATATACATACGTCTTTTACAGTCAACGATTCCTTTGGAGAATCTGATTTTTACTGACATACCTTAAAAGCGTATGAATATTTATAACTTCCGTATCTATTGCCAAAACCATGCAACTTTTTCTGATAGTTTACCGAGTTCCTGCCAATACCTTAAATGGCTCATTCATAAACACTGAGAGTACAGTGTACACTTATAAAGCTCCAGCAGGAGATAACTCATTGCTCTGTGTTAAAGGTGTAAATAACAAGTATCGTGCAGGAGTCCGGGGCCAGGTTGTGTGGTGCGCTTACTTTAGCGTGGTGTCCGGTGTTGACACGGAGGGACCGGGTTCGTTGCAGGCTTTTGACTCTCATAGATGACCAGACCGAGCCGAACAAGGAGTGGTTACGCTAGAAGATCACCACCGGAGGTTATTGTTAATGTGTAGCTAGGACACTGTTGTTATAGTTATGGTGTTGAAGGGACTGATAAGGATGTGACCTGACCATGGGTAACTTCTTTATATATATAAATATATACACAAGGTTTCTAATTACATAAAACCAGAATATTAGACCTCGGATGGGCAAGGGTCGGGAATGGTACCAGTGTCTCCATAATTTTATAACTTTTATAGGCTCTTAATAATTAATTCATATTGTCTGACTGCATAACTTTTCTTTTCAAATCCCGTGTTATCAGCAAAAACAGGACCCAAATATATGAATACTTCTTTATAGTTATAATGATCTTTTAAACCATTTTTTTAAAAGCTGCAAATACTTTACAGTGCAGACTACAAAGTCAGCTCGGCTAAAATATTTGTGGCGCACTTAATTATAAAAATATCTTTAAAAACATTCAATTCAAAATGTGATTCTTCAGCAGGCTGCTATACTGGCTGTTGTCAATAAAGACTTACTGGACTAGCATAAGAGATTTACTTTCACAAGGCTATATATAACTTTTTATTCCTCTGATTGAATATAGTTACTCCAATATGTGTGCATACAATTCCTTATATCACACTTCATACTAAGATATCCTCCAATTAGACATCCCAGTGCACATGAAAAATCTATAACTCTCTGGCAATGAATGTTTGCTATACTTTAACAATTGACGTCTTCAAATTATCCACCATACTTAAATTGTACTTATGAATGTAAAATGCTAGCAAGGAGAAGTTGGCTTACTCAGCAATTTCCAATTAGCACAAAATATTATATTAAAGTTCATATCCTTCAAAGTTCTGAACAACCCTCCTCCAGTCTTAGCAACTAAGCAACTACATCATCACATGATATTCAGATATAGCGCAAAGATCAAAATTTCAGGAATGGAATAATTATACAAAATATACCAATCTCCCTGATAGTCCCCATTTTAAGTTCTCATCAAGAATATGAGACAAAGATAAAACACAATATCAGGGTCTTCTCTCCTATCAATCTAGGAAGCTGCATAAAATCATAAAATACATCCATTCATGTGTGCATACCCAGTCTGCCTTGAGTATATGTGAATTATTTAGTTTTTCATTTCTAAATACACTGACATATATATCAAGATTTGTAGTTGTTTAATATCTTGTATAAAACAGTGTTGATTGGTTTCAAACATCCTTCATTTCCTATTTTTGATATCACTTAATACTCATTATCACCATCCTTATTTCTTTTCTAGTATAGAATGCTAAAAAATATCCTTATAATAATTAAGTTTACCATACTGAGATATAAGTATAAGTAGGGCTGATGACCACCAGGCTACCTATTGTTTAACAATAATATAAACTTTTATTCTTATTCAATTGACAGCCAGCAGTTTGCTTTCAATCTGGTCCTGTGAGAATTCCTTTTCAATGGGCCCTTTATCAATTATATCAACAATTTTATAACTGCTCTTTTACAAGGAGTGCCAAAGAGCCATGGAGAAAGGGACTGTAAGGGGAATTAGCTGGAGAAATCTTACAGCTGTGGTAGTGAGTGGCACAAAGGGAAGGTCAACGATACTTGTGCTAGTGCAGGGTATACTTTACGGTTTCTCTCTTTCACTCCAAGCTCCCACTTTCCTCCGAAGAATTTCTTTATTTGTTTTCCAAGCCTATCGCTGTCTCTCTCATCCTTCACTCTCTGTCTCTGACTTTCTATCTCTCTTACTCTTGCCTAAGACACATAATTTATCTCACCATTCTTTTCCTCCCTTCCCTTTGTTTTCCTCCCTTCCAATTTCCCCCTTATCATCCACTATGTCAGTCAATCCTCCATGCCTACCTCTCTTTCATCAGCACTTTTTCTTTTTCTCATTCTCTCTCTTTATATTTAAACAATTTTATTTCCATTTCTCTTTTCCTTCTGTCTGCTCTCCAGTCCTTTTTTCATCTAATTCCTCTATACCTCTCTTTTTGTAATCTTCAAGTCTCCCCTTCTTACATTCACTTAAATTTCACTCTTGATCTATATTCATTTTTCATGCATTCCTTCCTTAGTGTCTTGCTCTCATTGCTCCTTCTATAACCCTTAAAGGACAATAAAAGTCTAAGGTTCATGTGTGCAAACAATTGACTTTTTTTGTTTCTACTTTTGTGCTCAATTATTTCAGCTCAGATCATTTAGCGTGCATATTTCTCATATGGACAGTCAGGACTATTTTGGTGAGGGTCACTTTTGCTGTGGTTTGTCTAGTGTGCACACAAATCTGAGAATGACAAATTGCTGTGTTTTGTCCTTTAAGGGTTAAAATAATTACCTCATTTACTCCTTTCCTTTGCATCATTTTCTCTTTACACAACTTTGTAAAAGTGCACTAACTTGGCTTTAAACAATATGGACAGATACAGCATGTAGGAAAGCAAAGGGTATCAACAAATCTACCTTTTTTGAAGATGCTGAAGAGAGAAGATTGTGGACTTAAGAGAGCCTTCTGTTTGATACATGAATTATCAAACAGTTCCAATAACTCTTCATTTGTACCAATCAGTGAAATATGAAACCTGATTACTATATAAATCTCTGCTTGGCATAGAAAACAACATTTTCTGTGTATACTTAGTGCATTTCAGCTTTTTTATTGGTACTGCCAAACTTCTGTTTGATAATCCAAAAAAAAACTGCCTCAGATAATTTGGAACACCATTATATGATCAGTACTGAAATTTTTGTAAATGAAAATTTAGTACCTTGTGATATCATTTCTGAGAATTTCACTTTAAATGCTTGCAAGTCCCAATTAAATTAATCAAAATAATGCCACATGTGACTTTCAAAGTAATCTGGCTTTTGTTTGGATATTCACTTAAGCAGCTGGTAGAACAATTATAAATATTGATTATAATATAGTTACATTATTTCTCAGCCAAAAGCAGAATGGCTGAGCATTCATCAAGTTCCAAATGATATGAGTTGAATTAAATAAAAAAGGGGAATAAACCCTCCCATAACAGTTGTGCAGTGATAAGCTTCTACTGCAAAAAAATATAAATCATATTATTACAAAAGTCATACATCATTTCATTTATAAAATGCATTAAAATTGTGATTCCTACGGGTGGAATCTTTGTAACAACCTTACCTGCTGGTGAGACCAATCATCTCTAGTGTTATATACCTGAAAAACAAGTCGAGTTCCATGGTTCACTACATAATACACTGTTCCTGTCATCAAATCAGTAATGCTATCCCTGTTCCTGGTTGGTTTAAATCTGCTTGCTAAATTTTTGGGTTTATAAAAAGTTTCCGTAACACTAAATAAATGTAAATTGCTTACCCTATGCGTGGGAATATCATCATCACGCATCTCATCTAAGTTGCCTGAGATGGCACGCTTCAACTCGGGACCAGCTTCGTGTAGTGTTCTCAGGCCTGTAGGAAACATGTATGTGTGAAATACATCCTTGGAAATGAGGATATGATATGTACCTCATGATCCTAGATAACTGGACATTGTATAAACAGTACATTCAACCAAGTCAAAGTAAATAACTAATTTCTTCTGGTACCAATTGCATGTTGCATAAATATTGGTAACCAAAATCAATATCAATTTTTACTCGACAATGCAACTAAAATAACCATTCTCAATAAGTAAACACTCAGTAAATGACGGAAAATACATATATAACAAATTAATATCATCTTTTCAAAACAAAAAATATATATTGAACTAGATCTCTTATTCACTTAAGTATGAATAACTTTGTAAAGAATATTTGACACAATATTAAACTATGTACTCTACACCCTAAAATTTAATTTTTTCATTATATAGGTTTGTTAAGAAAAAAAAAAAAATCTGACTTACCAGCCTGAAGTGTAACAGTATTTGCAGACTCTTTATCAATTTGTTCTTTAATCTCCATCTTCTTCTTCTTAAAGCGTCTGAAGTAGTCCTGGATGAGGTAGGTAGCGTAGAATTTGCCCACAGTCACATCGTCTTCAACTAGTTGGAAAAAGAGAGGATAGTATAAAATATTATTCTCTGGTCAATATCATACCACCATATCAGCCAAAATCAGAATTAAAGATACTAGTTTTTGATAAAGAAAAATGAATATACTCCAGCCAGTACCTCCAACTGGTGGTACAACTTGGTCTAGAAGTTTGGGATTTGTACGCTTCCAGATTTTCTTGATGACTGCTCTTAATTCCTCATTGGCAGTATCAATATTGCCCTCAG